AACAGGTCTCTGCCCCGAGGAGGATCCATATGCTGTTGATGTTTGGTTGGAGGGAGACCAGAAAAAGCATTCCAGGCTCTGTATAGTTTGCTGCACAGAGCTGGTAGGTTACAAACATTTTGAAAAGAGGACCTATGGAAAAACAGATAGTCTCCCACACACACTTCACAACATTCAGTAAGGATTCAGTGCACAGAAATACCAGAATATATAGATAATCCCTCAGCTAGACACAGCTGTGATCAGGACAGGAGGGGCCGCCCGCCTGCATGGCAGCTCCCAGCAACCACCACCTCCAGCAGATGCAGCTGACCGCTGAGATGACAAATGACATCTAAGAGCCAAAGGGCTTCTTCCAAAAATTACTTATCTAGAGGTTACATATTACATGGTACAGAGCGTGCTTGTTATCAGACCACACTGAAACATAACAAAAAGGTTGTGCCACGACTTTAGCAAAGGCCAAACACAAACTGAACACTATGTCACTGCATGGAATTCACTCACAAAGCTCTGTGACTGAATTGCAAAAGGTGGATGAAAACTAAGATTGCCAAACGCTGCTGCAGATTCTCTATCCCGTACTCCTTGACATCTATCCCAAACTCATTGAAACAGGCTGTAAAAGTGGACGTTGTTGCAGGAGGAAGCGCTGAACTCCCAGATCAGAAGAGCAGAAGCTGGATGAGTTGAGGGGGGTAGCTGACGGTTGACACTTGGCTGTGCTCTGTCAGGAAAGCAGCTGCTCCTCGGCAGCTTACTGCAGCGAGAGGCAACTGGTGGGTGTGGTGCAATGTGATAGGAGCATTTGGGTTGGAAGATGAGCTCCTGCTATCTCTCTAAAAAACCACTGACAGAGTATTGCTCATTGCCCTTCTCCTAAAAAAAAATAGTGGGCTCTGAATCAAAATGTTTTGAAAATATATTTTAGTAAACACACCTTTAATTCTGATACGCGTGTTCCAGCTAATCACAGCTGCTCTCCCTCGAGCCCTCAGTCTGCTTGTAGGGAAGGCAAGGAGAGCAGGCCAGCAAAAATGTGAATTATTTATGTTCTTGCTGAAAGTGCAAGCCTTGTCACTACAGCCTTGCTTGATGGGATGGATCTACAGAGACAGTTTCTGTAGCAACCCAGAACCTCACCCCGCAAAATGTCACCCAGCAGTCACAGGTAATGCAGGGCAGTCATAAATATCTGCCTGGGTAGCTGCAGATGACACAGAAATGCCAAAGCAAAGTACACCTGGGCCTTGAGTCCTTCATTCTCAAAGACCCAAGAAGAGTTTTCAGGCTAATGCGGGTACAGCTAACAACCCAGCTGAGTCAACACACTGTTTCAAAAGACTGCACAGCCTTTGTGGGAGCTCGGCACCTTATTCACATCTGCTCAGGCTGCTGCTGACCATACGAGCTGCTGTGGTCTGAGGCTCTTGCTGGTACTCAGTGAGCTCAAGTCAGAGGCGTACTATCGCAGTGTTTATGACAGGTACATATATCAGGCATCAGGGTTGTTAATATTATCCCAAATGTTTCAGGTATCTCACTTTTATATCACTGCATTTACTGTAGATCGACCAAGGGATGTGTGGATTTAACTATTATATCCCTACCTATTTCTAGCCTTCAGTCTTGGCTTGTGGCTGTTTGCAACCCACCTCAATGAAAACGTTATGAAAATTACAAGCTGTCAGGACTGTCTTGCAAAGCTTTGAAGTGTGATACAGGCTAGCAGGTTTGTCTAGACATATTAAACATATTTTCCAGTAAGTCAGTGTTTGAATTTTTCATAATTATCAGCATATCAAATAATCTGTGACTGAATATATTCAGCTTGTCTTAATTTCTGAGACTGTGAAACGCAAACCGTATTGGAAAAGTTACATGTTGAACTTCGTATGTACAGAAATGCTAGCAGATGGTTCCTTCACCGTGCATCTCTACTTGCCCACCACCAACACTGGGAGAATAAACTGAATTTTCTGAGGGCTTTCCAGAGTTTGCATTTCCAGTGTTTCCTACGGTTCGACCTTACAAACAAAACCAGGCTCTCCGCATTCAGAGTAACCCGGGTGCTTAGCTCTAAATAGGAGATAATCCAGCTATAAAAAGCTTGTGGTTATTTGAGAGAGGTCAACGAGGTACAACTCTGAATGTGAATAGAAGTGTGAGAAGCAGTATGAGTCCTACTTAACCTGGACAACAAGTGCTTCCACTGGCAGGGCTCAGAGGCATGGCTTGTATTTACAGTTTTGCTGACTTAGCAATGCCAGGACTAGAGCAACATTCAGCAAGGCAAAACCCTTGAGATGCAGTTTCAAGAGAAACATCTTCTGCAGTTTTGATACAAGCAATATATTGATCTAAATTTGGTCCCATCTCTAAGAGGGTTTTCCAGCTCTTCCCCTGTAGCCGCACTGGCAAACTTTCTGGTTGAGACAGTTGTGCAGATGAAGGACTGAAGAATAATGCTTATGACAGCAGATCTGCTTTGGAGACTTGAAAGGAGGATATTTCCCCCTTTGGGAGGAACCACAGAGAAGCACTGTCTGCTTCCTTAAGTGAATCTGGGCTGGAGAACAAAGGACTTGAGCTGATGTACAGTGGGGTAATTTGCATGCAATTAAACTGATGTTTAAAAACCCACAGCGTTTGTCTCTTGTAGTATATGTGTTTTTGTTTTCTAAAAGCAAAAAATGTGATTGATTTATTGATTGATTTTACTACACAAGAATAAAAGTGGCAAGGCCATTTCTGAGTGCCCAGAGATTATGTTTTATTTTGTTGTTTTTCTAGCCACAAAACAGTCTAAAGGAATTTTATTAGACTTCCCAAAAATCCAGCTCAAGCACCAACTCAAGCAGAAGCAAAACTGTAAAGGTTTTGGAAAATACTAAATTCTTGAATGGCTTCCTACCTTGACAAATTTTCTCATGTAGCACTATTATATCACAGCTATCCTGACTGATTTCCTTAGTTATTGGTTACTGGTGATTCTCAAGTCAAGTGTCTTCTAGGTCTACGCCTGGGGCTTTTTGATGAGCTTCATACCAGCAAAAGCTCCAGCCACATCTGCACAAAAAAAAGACTGACTGACAGCTATGCCAGATGAAATGAGAAGAGGTGGCACGTGTTTGTCCCAGAAGCCTTTCTAAGTAGTGATTTCAGCAAAGCTGGTGGGACGGCTTTGCTTTTGGGAGGCAGTTTCAAATACACAATGTACAGTGAATGCTTTTGCAGGAAAAGATAAATCCACACATTAGACATACTGTTGGTATGACAGCTCAGTCCAGAGACGGGTAACAAAGCTGGTGAGAGGTCTGGAGCACAAGTCTTATGGGGAGCAGCTGAAGGAATTGAGACTTCAGTTTGGAGGAGGCTCAAGGAAGACCTTACTGCTCCCTACAACTCCTTGAAAGGAGGTTGTGTTGAGGTGGGGGTTGGCCTCTTCTCCCTGCTAACAGCAATAGGCTGGGAGGGAATGGCCTTGAGTTGTGCCAGGGGAGGTTCAAGTTGCGTATTAGGAATTTTTTTTTTCTGAAAGTGTGTTCAGGTGCTGGAATGGGCTGCCTGGGGAGGTGGTGGAGTCACCGTCCTTGGGGGTGTTCAAGAAACATTGAGATGTTGTACTGAGGGTCGTGGTTTAGTGGGAAAATACCGGGGGTAGGTGGACAGTTGGACTGGATGATCTTGGAGGTCTTTCCCAACCTTGTGACTCCGTAATTCTGTGATTCTATGAATTCTTGTAGCATCAACAACTTCTCATTAGACAGTTCAATGATTTGCTACGTATTTCTGTGCCACCATGAATGTTCCAAGAAGTGCTTAAAGAAAGGAGTGCTCCCACAGCTCTTTAACACAGGGACCTCACGGGCAACTTCTTGCTGTAGTTACTGAGGTTCTAGTGGCTTCATACGAAGCCCACGCAGACAAACAGATAAAGCACCAAGCACTGGATGCTCTCAGACATGAACTCCGGTCAGGGACTCTGGGGCTGCTAACTGCTGCGCCTCACACCAGCCTGTCCTTTGCTGACCTACAAACTGCAGATCTGATGCTGAGGGTGCCTTTGGACCCTGTGACGCCCTCAGCAAGGCAGTTCTGCTCATTTTATTGGTTTTACTCCAGTAATTAGCACGAGCAAGGATTCTAACAACTACAGCAGTTTAGGAAGGAGCCACGTTTCCCACATTTCCCCCCCTTGGCTCTCAAGAAGTTCAGTTTTGTTTCCTCACAAAGGCAAAGGAGAAGTGTTGGGTATAGCATGCAGCGTTTTGGAAGGGCTGTGAAGAAAACACTTCGCCAACAAGTTTATTTCCACCAGGAGCAGAGCTTTATTATTATCTTTGGGCGAATATCAAGAGCAGGCTTTGTTACTACGACTACATCAGCCGGAAAGCCGCGTTGCCACGACAACGGCTGGGCTGGGCGGGGCGGGGCGGGGCGGGGCGGCGAGAGCCTAACAACCGCAATTCAGGATGAGGAGGAAAGGCGGGATTCAGCAGGGCACCAATCAGAGCTGAAGACGGAACAGGAAGGCGGGAGGGTTAGGCTCAGCGAGTTAGCGGCAGGGGAGTAGGGAAGAGCCACCAATCGCGAATCGGGACTCGGGGGGCGAGGGCGGGGTTTCGTCGCAGTAACCAATCAGCGGGAGAGAGGGAGGTTCCAGCGAATCACGTTTGCCTTCTTCAGGTCGAGCCAATCACGTGCGGAGCGGAGGAGCGTCAGCCAATGGGGAAGCGATGAGGGAACAAAAGGGGCATTCCAAGCCGCCGGCCCTTTTCCTCAGCCCAATTTCACATGACGCAACGGTTGGAGGAAGCGGTTCGCGAGCTGTAGCCGCCGCCGCCATTTTGTGAGCGTTGAGACTGAGCCGGCGGTGGTCGGAAGCGCAGCGGCGGTACGGACGACAGCGCCACTCGCAGCGGAGCCGCAGCTCGGAGGATGCGGTAGAGGAGCCCACCGGCAGCGGCGGGGGGGCGGCGTCGCTCGGCGGCGGCAGGGGAATCGCGGGGAGGGGGCCGTCGGTCGGTGGGTCGGGTCCTAGTGCGGGCCCCGGTCGGAGGAACATGTCGGCCCCGGAGAGCAGCGCTGGTAGCGGCGAGGCCCGGGAGGACGCATGCCGCGATTACCAGTCGTCGCTGGAGGACCTGACGTTCAACAGCAAGCCGCACATCAACATGCTGACCATCCTGGCCGAGGAGAACGTGCCCTTCGCCAAGGACATCGTCTCCCTGATCGAGGCGCAAATCGCCAAGGTTTTTATATTCCACCGCCTACTACTCCTACCTATACTGCTGGGGGGACCGGCCGGGGCCAGGAGAAAGGGCTGAGGGACGGAGGAGGCAGGGAGAGAAGGAGGGCCCGAGAGAGAGGGGAAGCGGGGCCACAGAGGGAGGCAGCGGGCCCGAGGCTGGCGGCCGGGCGGGGGAGGGAAGCAGGGCTCTGGGCCTCGAGGCGAGGCGCTCCCGTGTCACAGGTGGCCGCGGGGGGAGCAGGAAGAGCCGGGGGCAGGGGGAAGCAGGCCGGGGGTCGCCCTTGGGAGCGAGCGGAGGACAGCGTGGCTCAGCAGGGAGCACGGCCCTACCCTTCTCACCGTCCCACACCCCCCTCCCCTTCCCCGGCCAGGCTGAGGGCCGCCCCTTCTCCCGCCCGCACCCCGTAGGGAGCAGGGGACCCGAGGGCAGTCGGGTTGCCGTCCGGCCGGGGCAGAGCGGCTCGCGGCCCCGTGTGGGTAACAGATGCAACATGGCGGCCCGGCCGTGACTGGGCAGCGCCTCGCCCTTGGAGCTGGGTTTTCCCCTCGACGCTGGTGTCGAAACCGTTGCATTTAGCGATTTCTTCCGTAGATAACGATTGTATAAGTGTCGTTAGCAAGAGCCTGAGCTTGTGGAGGCTTATTTTTTTCAATTTATACCCGGATAGTGCGAAGGAATGAGAAGGTTGAGTTTATAGCACTGAAATCGTATGCTTTAGAAAGGCTAAATATAATGAATTTTTAAGTATCACTTCTAGTTTAAAAGATAAGGTTATTTTCCCCGTGAGATATTAACTGGAGGAGTAAAGGTGTGGGGCTTGTCTTCCAGGAAAGTTTTGAGGTGAAAGGCGATCATCTGCTCTGAGTAGGGAAGTGTGCGTGTGCTGCTGGTGGGGTGATTCTGTGCTGTCTGCTTAGAGAAAGCGACGTGGGCTTGGGGTAACCCGTTTGGCTTTCAGGTGGCTGTGCCCTAAGTGAAGCTAGTGCTGTGTATCTTCATGTGTCTTGGCTAGAGAGGTTTATTTGTTGAGGATGGGAAGAAGAAATTCTCCCCGACTGTAGAAACCGCAGCAGCCTGTAGGATCCTGACATGGCGTCTGAAAGGCACGTGATATAAAAGGAAGGGAAAGAGGAGGCTCCCTCTGAACCCAACCCAGGCAGTTGCTGACATCAGTCAGCTACAGCGCATGGATGGGTGCAGGGGGGATTACTGTACCTTTCTAACAGCAGCTTATTGTAAGAAAAGGGTTATTCCTTCAATCCATCGTGTTCCTGCCAGTCACCCCTCCCCCATTGTCTCCCTTGCTCCCTCTAATACCAGGCTCCTTCTAATATAGGCCTTTTTTTTTCCTTTGGCTATAAATCGCAGTTTATAATGGTGAGAATTGTACTGTCTAATGCTGGGGAGGGAAAGATCTTTTACATTATTTAATCTGTCTTTCTACCAATGCAGGATGGCTCTTTAGTGTTCCACAGACCTCTTCCAGTCTAGTTTTAAATGCTACCAGTGGCCAACTTTTGCCATTCCTTGGGGAGGTGACCTCATAACCGAATAGATCTCACCATTATATCTCCTAAAGGGCAGTAGATGTGTATAATTTGTGATAAATATCAATGCTGTCAAATTTCTTCATTTCTGGGTGTTTTAGAGCCTGCCCTGAAGTGTGTGTTTTTTTCTTCTTTTTAAAGATGTCTTAAATCTTGTATCAATGGTTAGTTTTGCCTTAGTTACTGTTTGTGACTGTGGTTTATTCAAGGCAAGTTCTTAGTTGTTTTTGGGAAAGTGCTCTCCTTTGCTAAGCCACTTTTAAAAAGTGTTGCCTGGAGACAGTTTGTTTAGTGTAAAAACTCGAGTGGTCTGCTTTACAATTTAATAAATGGCTCTGAAATGTGTGACTGGTATTATAAAATATGTAAATAAAAAGTGTGAAATATGTATTTGTCTTTTTATTTACCATTGTATAGTGCAGAATTTGTTTCTGAGACCCATTTTGTGTACAAAGTTGTTTTTTAAACAAAGTTTTTTTTGCAAGTTTGTGACTTGGGGTTTGATTATGATTCAATTTTTTTGAAGTTAAACTTTTTTTTTTAGGAAACTAATAAAAAAAAGCCACACATTTCCAACAGTAGCTTTCATACGTTATTTGAAAGAAGAGTGGGAATTCTGTGGTGATGAGCTCAGCGTTAGCATTCTGTGTGTTCTGGTGGTATGCGGAGCCTCCTGCTGTTGGTTAGCGCTGTGTGGGGCTCTTTCTTGCTAGGGGTGCTGTATAGATCGCCTGAAAACAAGACGTTCAAATCTGGGATTCCCTTGTGTGGTTATTGGAATGTGGGCTAGATAATATAATAAACATTTCCAGAAATGACAACTTAACCGTTTTTAAGTCATGGTTCTTAGGTTGTGCCAGCTGAGTATTTGAAGGAGGGCACTCTGCTAAACTAACGCTGTCACATTTTGAAGTAGGCTTCCTTACTAAATTGCGTTGCTTTTCTGTGTGATTACTTCTAACTACTCCCAAGCACATGAAGCTGTTAAACTTGTTACAGTGCCTTTGCTGTTAAATGGATACTCTGGCATCTCCAACTCGAATCTTAGCTGTGTATAGTGAGCTACTTCCATACCTTGGTGAAATGGAAGAGTGTAGTGTGCTCTGCTAGTAGCTCTTGAGCATTTGTGCTGCTGAGGCAGCTCTTTGTTTCCCTGAAAGCTGACTTAGAAAGTTGGGAACTGTACTCTGTCATTTTTTATATAAAAGAAAGCATTCACAACTTAGCGCAGTGTTTTTATATAAATGCCATTGTGTGGGCTGCATTGAAGAACTAACCAATATTTTGTGGACATGTTAATATTAAGCAGCTGCACATCCATTTTTTTCTAAGCTGGAGAAATGCCCCTATTCTAACACTTGCATAGTAGCAGCTTTACAGCCCACTATTAGGTCATAAGTTCAGCTCTCAGATTAGATAGTACAAATGGTGTAAACCATACTCTTAACGTGCTGCTTAGCTGTGCACTTTTCTGTCTTTTCATGTACAAAATAAATCAGCTGCCTGCATTTTTTTACGTATGCTCAGAGGCAGTGACACAGTCCCCTCCCCATTAACAAGAAAATGTCCTTTTCAGTGTTGAGTTTTGGTCATGGTTAATTAATATACACTTAAAAGTGAGGAAATACGGTTTACCCATATAAAAGTTTTGTTGACGCGGTGCCCTTCTGTGAATCACTTTAATAGGGAAGGATTTAAATCTAAAATTGTAAAGCAAGAGCACTTCCACACACTTACCTGGACAGTGGGGCTGTGAACTAAGGTGTTGCTGATCATCATAGGAGCCTGTCCTGTTTAAAAAGAACAATGAAGTTACTCTGGTTTTATGCTGAGTTACTGGATGGTGAATGGGACTTAAAAGTATTCCGAGCGGATGCTCCTGTCTGAGGGGATGTTGGTCAGCGCGGAGCTTGTGGTGGTGTCTTTCACGTTGTCCTCCTCAGCTGTTTGCTCACTGATGCTTTCTGGAACTTTGCTGTGTCTTCTGCTGATGAAAGCCAGTGGTGGGCATTAAAAGCACCTTGATTTGGGCCAGTAGTGCTTTTCCTGCATTGGAAGTTGTAGCTGTCCACCATCCATGCTTCTGTTTCACAGACTTGCTACAAGTTTTGGTGTGGATTTAAAACCGACAAAAAAGATCCCTCAAGCCTTCTCTTTTAGCAAAGATGTATCCTGAGTGTGAAGACTCCAGGCTGTGAAAACTGTGGTTGTGATTCCTGAGCTTTCCCGTGTGTACCCAGTCAGCTTGGTGATTGGGTTTGGTCTGGATTTAGAACTTTGTCTGCACATCCATCTAAAACCTGACTGTTACCGCTGATAAGTGCCAACAGAGACTGGGACTCCTTGCTCCACTCCCTTGGATTACAGTGATATAGTTGTGACCTTTTCTGCGTGTAGTTTGTGAAAGGACTGTGATGTTCGACGTGTAATCTACAACTGCCGGAGTTCTCTGACCTGGGCTGTTCGCAGGAAGTCTGATTTGTGTTCTGTGGAACGGAGAAAAGCAAGCGTTCAGGAGGTCCAAGCGATAAACGATTTTTTAAAAGTTCCTTGAAGTGCTAGCGATGGCTTCCTGCTAATTTCAAGTTATTTTCTCCACTGGGTTTTGAAAGGCTGCACTCGGTACACTAGCAGTAATACTGTCTTGTGGGCTTCTTTTTTCTTTTTTTTCCCTTTTTTTTCCACCCCAAAGCTTTGAGACAAACAGAATAACCCAAGGTGTTCCTTTTCTCTGGGGTAGACCCACCGCATTATACTTTGAACTGAGTATTGATTTTCCAGATTTAAGTTTTTAAGTTTTTGTATAAACAATCCCAAGCAAACCCCTTGGTGTTTATAGTGGCAACAAAAAGAGAGGTCTGTATTTCTGGGATTGGTTATCCCTTTATTTAAATAGCTGAACGTATGTTTTTGTTGTACTAAACTTCTCAGTTTCTTCTTATTACTCCAGGCTCCTGCGTCAGAGAAGCTCCCTGTTATGTACCTTATGGATTCCATTGTCAAGAATGTTGGAAGAGAGTATCTTACTGCATTTACTAAAAACCTAGTTGCAACATTTATTTGTGTATTTGAAAAGGTATATACACTTTCAGAAAAGTTCTGTATTTAAGCAAAGTTGTTCCTGGTAAAATAAATACACGCTCTCAGCTTTGGGTTTTCTTGGGTGCTGAATGAGAAGAATGGATTGCTTTTTATAAATGGCAATGCTGTATCTATAACGTGGGAGGGCATTCCTGCTGTTGTCAAACCTGTGAAATAAGTTAGCCAAAAGGTGCAAAGTCCTGATGAACTTGTGTAGTTTTTCTATCTAGGCAAGGCTTCACTGAGTTTCTTGATTGCTGATTGCTTACCTGGACAGACTTTTTGTAATGTATGGGGCAGTTAATTATGAATCGCTGATTTATTTTTTAAGGTAGTGGTTAGTCTTTATGTCAGGAATATACTCAGAATCAGTTTCTTAGAGATTTTTCTGAGCTCTCTATAGTTAGATTTGTCTGATTCACTTAATTTTTGATGTGAGCACTTAAACTGTGACAAATACTGGCACCTGATATTCTTTAAGTGGTCTGTGATTAAAAAACACATATGATGGGTGAGGGGGGGAGGTCGTGAGAGTATATTATTGCTTCGTTGCATTAAAAATACATGTTCTAATTCCATTCAGTGTTGAAAACTGCTGCCAAATATACTCACTTTTTTTCTAAGTCTTTAAACCCAGTGAAGTAATTGTGCTTATTCCTCAGTGAGAATGGCAAATCCAAGTCCAGCTTTTGAAAGACTGGGCTTGAATGGGTTTAAGTTGAATCTGAAACGGAGAGTTAACTTCTGTGGTTTCCTGTATGCCCTAAGAAAGTGGCACCACATCTGAATGAGATGAGTGGAGCTTTGCTGTATTTGTTACTATGTACCAGTGGGGATCTGTGATCCCAGAATGTTTTATATCTGCTGTTCAGCTGTACAGTGGAAAAGGGATAGATTGTCATAATGAGCTCAGCAATATTGAACTTTTGTGTGTAGAGTAGATAGGTAGGCATTTGCTTATTTTTCCAATATTGGTTTGTGTTCTTTCACTGAGTTGCATTTAAACTAGCATCTGAAGCTCTGGGTAATTCATCTGCTGAGTTTTGTAGTCTACTAAGCTAACTAGAACTATTAAATTTATATTATAAATGTAAAGTGTCAGTCACTTTAGATAACTGATGATATTGCAAGATGAAATTTGCCCTGACGTTGTTAGACATTCTGTTTTATCAGTAAATGATCACTGAAGGTATCTTTAAACACTTAGCGAAGTCAGAAACTGGCTCAGTCATGGCAGCAGCTTTTGCAGTGAAAGTTGTGTAGAGGCACCCTCCCACCCCCCAATAGCTAAGTATGAATTATTTTTATTGAAGTTCCTCCCCTCTCTTTCAAAGAACTTCTGAACTTTCTGGACAGCATGTCTTGCTGTGACACCTAAAATAAAACTGCAGCCAAAAAAAGGTCTTTACATGGTCGATGTGTAATGACTGAGTTAGCACATTCGCAGTAGGGCAGCTGCGTGTGTTTTGTCAGCAGATGTTTCTCATTTATTTAAATGAACTACTTGAGTGAGTCTTGAACTGACATAAAATGATCCAGTCTGATTGCAAAGAGAAAATGGGTGCTAGTGCTACTAATACATTTGATTTATGGCTCATAAATGGGTCAGATTTTGCAATTGAACTGCACTGTGCTTGAATTTGTTTTGACTCACACACCTTTTGTTGGATTTGTTAGGGGGAAAGAAAAATTTCAATGATTAAACAGCTAAACAAAACACTGCTTCTGTTCAGAAAGTTTGTTGTTCTCTGATTTGTTTGTTGTTGCTGCACGCCACTCAGCACAGACATTTGAATTACTGTATTGTTTCAGAGGCTTTTCCTTTGGATATTTTTGTTGCTGTATTTTTTGACAGAAATTGTCCAAGTAAGTTGAACATTTTGGTAATGGAAAAGCTGAAAGAAAGTTCTCAGAGAATGGTAATACACAATAAAGCCTTCAAATAGCCTTGAAATGACAGTTCTACATTAGAACTTCTGTTACCCATTCTGTTGGTGTAGATGTATCAATCTGTGCCACTTAGGAGTTCTTTGTAGCCAGTTCATTGTGTTAAAATGATAAATTTGGTAAGAATATAAAGCATATGAGATCTTAAGTTCTACAGAAAAGTTTAAGTTGTTTTATATTAACTTAACAAGCCATAGAATTGTTTTATTGTTTTAGGTGGATGAAAATACTAGGAAAAGTTTATTTAAATTACGCTCCACATGGGACGATATTTTCCCTTTGAAGAAACTTTATGCACTTGATGTCAGAGTCAACTCATTAGATCCTGCTTGGCCAATTAAACCTCTGCCCCCAAATGTGAATACTTCTAGCATCCATGTGAATCCTAAGTTTTTAAACAAATCGGTAAGTCTTTATTCCTACTGTATGAACAGATGGCAGTAGTACTCATGTTGTTTTTGTTGTTTGTATGCTGCTTTTTGACAAATGTAGTATGATAAGAATAAAGCACCTGATCACTGGAGACAGGTAAGATGAATTTGGGGATTTGAAATATTTAAGGGGCTTAGTTTTTGTTTTAAAACTGAATTCTGGATTTCTGAACATTGATTGATTTATATTAAGTGGCGTGCTTAATTCTCTCATGGTGGCATAGTTAACCCTATGACAGCAGGCAAATTCTAGAGGAGCAGAATTTTTTTTAGCATTTTGTTTGTATTTTGCATAAAAATTGCAGTTCATAACTTGTGCAAACTAAGTCCCAGTTTTGTATAATGCCAGCAGTTAAGGGAGATGGAGTTAGCTGGTTCTATTAAGATGTTGAATGTAACCTTGTGTTTTATTTTTAGCCAGAGGAATCTACTGCATCTACCTCTGCTGTCACTTCTGGTGCCTCTACTCCTCCAGCTGTTCCTGAAATACAAAAGAATTTGACACAGGAGCAACTGATAAGGCAGCAATTGCTTGCGAAGCAAAAACAGTTGTTAGAACTTCAGCAAAAAAAGTTAGAGCTGGAGTTGGAACAGACTAAAGCACAGTTGGTGAGTAGAATAGTTGGTGAATGGTCCTTGGTTTGGTCTCACTTTGTTTGATACTGCCTTAGCTGCTATACTGGTAACTGCGGTTAAGTTTAGACAGGAGTAGCTGTTTTAGGACTAGAGCAGGGCAAGTTGACCTGGTGCTCTAGACCAGTAATTGTTATGTAAAAATCTTAAGAATTACATCCAGAACAGCTTAAGAAACGTTTGTGGTCTGTCATTCTGCTCTGAAAGATCCTGTCTGCCTGTGGTACATCTTTTCATGGCTCTTAATAAAAGAGGCTTTTTCGAATATATTTGCTCTTAGAAAATGGAGTATTTCCATAGAGAACGGGGAATCCTGATTGCAAGAAATGTCAAGGCAGTTTCTGTCCTCAGTGGGTCAAGTTGGTTTGGTGTCAGTGGTGGCAGTTAAGATGTTTTGTTTTTATTTTCATCTTGTGTTGAATGTTTGTGATACTAAAGTGAAACATCTTAAAAGACCAGAAATAAAAATAAATCAATATAGTTTAGCCATTTAGTTTTCTTCGAAACGTGGAAGGTATAGAAAAACTAAAGCTGTAATGAGGCGTGCTTATGTTGCATTTTTTGCAGCACTGACTTGAACTTCATCTTCTGTGATGGTACTGTGTTATCTTAATACCTGTGGTTAGGAATTAATGGGTCATTTTCAGTTAAATGGCTGAATCTCAGAACTATTTCAAAACATTTCTACGAGCATCTCTGTGCAAGTGTTGTATCATGCAGAGTAATGCTCTTTTTTCTTTTCACCTTATTTCAGGCTGTTTCTCTTAGCGTTCAGCAAGGATCGTCTTCTATACCTTCAGTTCCAACACCTTCCAAGCCACATGTGTCCCAGACACCTCACATGGCAGTTAAAATACCTACTCAGGCTTCATTGCAATCTGAAAAGATCAAACCATCCCCAAGTCCTCCACTTCATGATGTCAAAATAGTAAATAGAGATCCTCGACTTAATAGAATGTCTCAACATTCTTCTCATGCTAAAGATCAGTCTCACAGGAAAGAATTTCCACCAAACACAACTGGTCAGTCTGATGCCAAGGCGAGCAAAACATCTCAGTCCGAAAAACAAAGCTCAACAAAACCAGAGAAATCGAAAGCAGGTGAAAAAACACAAAAGAAAGAAGCTGATCAGGTGGAAACAAAGTCTAAGTCTCCATCTCCTTTGAAAAACAAGCTTCCCAATACTAAAGATACTAAAACCCAAGAATCTGAAAGCGCAAAAGTATCTGAAATGAGTAAGCGGGACCCAAGACTGAAAAAACATCTTCAAGAGAAGCCAGAGAGCAAAGGGGATGAGGTGAAAGAAAAGAGGAGAAATACAGAGAAAAAAGAAAAAGACGAACATAAAGCAGGTGAACATAGACCAGTAGGCAGCAGAAATAAAACCGTTAATGGTGTTGTTCAGAAACAAGATGTGCCTACCGAAGAATCAGAAAAACAGGGTGGAAAACAAGGGAGATCCAGTAATAGAAAACGGTCACGATCCCGCTCTCCTAAATCACGGTCACCATCTACACATTCTCCAAAACGAAGAGAGAGGAGATCGCCCAAAAGAAGACTCAGGAGTTTGTCTCCCACTTCTTCAACTCCTAAAATTGGAAAGATCCGTCAGATAGGTCCTAAGCAGTCTCATGCAGAAGAAGCCTCACAAGGGGCAAGAGACGAAAGGAATTCTAATAAGCGAAATGTTAAACAAGAGGTGCGAGATCCAAGGAGAGTGAAAAAAAGCCAAGAAGACAGGCCCCAAGAAATAGCAAGCCAGCATTCTACAAAAGCTTCTCCTGATCCAAAGGAGAATGCAGAGAATTGGCAGGGATCCAAAGCAGGCAAGAGGTGGAAATCCGGTTGGGAGGAGAATAAAAAGTAAGTTACCATATTTTAAACAGGTTCTCTCTGAAGTAAGTGGAAATTCTGCTCTTGGCTAAAGTACAGTCAGGTTTGGGAGGAAATATTCAGGCTGTCTGTATTGACAGAAGTTCTTGATCACAATTCATAACTTGCTTGTGGTAAAAAATGGCAAATATGCACACTTTCTAAATTGATAGTGATGTTTTACCGTTATCAATTCTGATAGAGATGTATTATATCCTGAATAAAGAACTAACTTAGTTTTAAACGTGTTCCTATTCTCAGCTCGCAGCAGACTGAAGAACACCAAGCTGTTGGTAAATCTCCTCACCAAAGACACCGAGAAAACTGGCCTGCTGCTAAGGGAATTCTGTCACCCCGAGCACCAAAACAGCAGCACCGGTTAAGTGTGGATGCCAATTTACAAATTCCCAAAGAACTGACGTCTGCAAGCAAGAGAGAATTACTTAAAAAGGTAATACTGGTTGATCCTCTGTGTAGAGGTGTTTTGAATAGAGTTGTGCTTTGCTTTTCTGCTTAGAAATCCAAACTTTATGTTGCAGGCCAATGACCGCTTAGCATCTGGTGAAATAACACAAGATGAGTTCCTCGTGGTAGCTCATCAGATTCGACAGCTGTTCCAGTACCAGGAAGGAAAGCACAGATGTAATGTGTGGGACAGCCCCACAGAGGAGAAAGGCTCTCTGAAAAGGAAGCCTCTTCTATCTGATGCGGAGTTAACGTACTACGAGCATAAAGCTAAACTGAAAAGGACACAAGTTCAGCATTCGCTGTCAAGACTTGATCTCTTGGATCCTGATGATATTTTGGACTATCATGTGCCCGATGCTTTGCTTTCTGGAGTGGACTGTGAGCAAGGGAAAGCAAAGCGCGGAGTACAGTTTGAGAGAAAAGAACCTTTTGGAGAAAGGTCAAGACGGCACTCTCCTGTAAGTGGCACGAGCAGACCCTTTGCTGAAAGCCTTTCGCCTCTGGAGGGTCGACGAAGGCTTGAGGAACAAAGTGCTGCTAAAGGAGGCAGGGGTTCGAAAAACTTTGATCCTTACGACAACTGGGGAGAATCAGATGAATTCAGAGATGCTCTCAGACAGCAGGGAAAAGGTACAGCAGAATTCCAGAAGATAGATGGTGATGCTGTCTGTAGGTTTGATAACCGTGAAGAAAGACCGCTGCTTGGGAAATCTGGTATGTTTTTTTGCCTTATTTTACAGATGTTAAATGATTTGCAATCTTCTGGCGAGTGGTTATCATGGGGTTGTAGGAGATGCATAGTCCAACCCTCTGTGCTAAAGCGAGTACCTTAGAGTAGGAAAGTATCTGGGCAGATTATGATTATCCCCAGGGAAGGAGAACCTTTCTGGGCAGCTTTCAGTTCCAGTGCTCTTTAACCCTCAAAGTAAAGTATTTTTTTTCCTCATTTTTCTATGGAACTGTCTGTGTTCCAGTTTGTTCCTGTTGTGCCTTATTCTGTCACTGGGCACTGCTGAAAAAGAGCCTGACCCCATCTGTTATCCCCTTGACCTGCTGGCCGTGCTCTTCTTCATGCACCCTAGGTTTGTCATTGGTCTTGTTGGCCACAAGGGCCTGCTGTTGATACATGGTCAGCCTTTTGTCCACCAGGACACCTAGGTCCTTCTCTGCACAGCGCCTTATCTTCCTTTATTTTCTTTTTTCAGGTGTTCGAGATGAACCAAGATCACCATTCAATGAACGTTTCAAAAGAGCTAGATACGAAGACCCAGATAAAGAACCATTTCCAGACAGTCCAGGGTCAAGATTTGGAGGCATAGAAGCAAAGCCGAGAATAAGCGCACTGATGGAAGACAGACCTTTATTTGATGGCTCATCTAGACCATCTGCTGCAAGAGTTGGGGCAGACGGACAAGGAAGCCCTTTTATTGATAGTCCTACTGCTGGTTCAAGTTCTAGAATTGATGGGCCACCTGGACAGGCTGCTCTGAGATTTGAGGGGCCTTTAGTGGGCGCAGGTGCTTCTCAGTTTGATGGACCCCTGGCAGGAGCAGGGGGAGCTGGAGCCCTAAGATTTGATGGGCCACCAGGGCAGCTGGCGGGGGCTCTCAGGTTTGAAGGACCACAGGGACAGGTTGGTGGGGGAGGTCCTCTGAGGTTCGAGGGACCTCTTGGGCAAATAGGTGGGCCGTTGCGGTTTGAAGGGCCTGGAGGCCAGCCTGTGGGTGGTCCTAGATTTGAAGGACCTGGAGTTGGTCTCAGGTTTGAGGGACCCCGTGGTCAACCTTCAGGTGGTCTCAGGTTTGAGGGACCTCATGGTCAACCTCTGGGGCCTCGCGGTCAGCCAGGGGGTGGCCTCAGATTTGAGGGCCCGCACGGCCAGCCCTTAGGGCCTCACGGTCAACCAGGAAGTGGTCTCAGGTTTGAAGGTCCACATTTACAGCCATTGGGGCCCCATGGTCAACCTGGCAGCGGTCTCAGATTTGAGGGGCCACATGGACAGCCTATGGGGCCACACGGACCATCAGGAGGTGGGCTCAGATTCGAGGGGCCACACGGGCCTCCAGGTGTAGGGCCCAGATTGATAGATGGACCAGTGCACCAGGGAGTTGGTGGACTTAGATTTGATGGTCCTCTGGGACGGACCGGTCCAAGATTTGATGGCTGCCATGCTGGGTTTGATGGACAACCTGGACAGCTGTCTCTTTTGCAAAGATTTGATGGAATTCATGGACAGCCTGGCCCAAGATTTGAAAGGGCTCCTGGCCAGCCCGCACAACCACGATTTGATGCAGCCATACCTCAGAGATTTGATGGTCCTCACCAGCCAGCCTCAAGATTTGACCTGCCCCTTGGCCTTCATGGTGCACGTTTTGAAAATATGGCCAGCCATCCTGCCTCACGATTAGAGATGTCGCCATATGGACAAAGTGGGCCTTTTGTTGACCATCCCGGACAGGGCTACAGTGGACCAGCTCATGGGATGCAGTTCCAAAGGCCTGAAATATTTGACAGTTCACTAGGACCAAATTTCAGTGGGCCAGCTGGCCCAGGAGCACAGAATTTTTCATTAAGAGCATCTGGACATTATTTTGATGACAAACTTCAGGGTCCTCAATACGGGAACTTCAATAGTATGTCAATGGGAGGTCATCAGGTAAGAACTGATTCTAGTAAATATTTACTTGCAGAAGTGTTTTTGTGTAGACAATTAGCAGTTCTTTCTCTAAAAACATTGATGATTTTTTTTTTTTTTGCAGACTAAAATATCCTTAAGTAGTACTACTTAAGTAGTATCTAGATGATTCAAGGAAAGGGGCAAGCATTGCTATTTTTTAAGAGTCTTTGTCTTTAGAAATTAAAAAACAGTTCTTTGCAACCATTTTGTAGCTGAAAATATAGCACTGAGATTAGGGTCTTGAATTTGAAAATGAATTAGGGAATTGGAAGACACTGATGTTTTCACTTATGCAAAGCAAGTTCTCTGCAAATCATGGCAGATTATTGAAGTGAACATACATAATCACTTTTTTTCTGAAAGGTTTAGAATTAAAATGGACCAAAATAATTGTTATCTTTTTGAAGACATCCATAACTTGGGGGCAGCTGAGAAAGATGCCTGCAGGCTTCTAAGCTATAGCTTCTGAAGAATAATCATGGCACCAGCAGGCTTTATGGTTTCAATTGTCCTTGCTGTTGCTTGTTGGAAGTGCTCTCTTCTGAAGGGAAAATTAACTGTAAATCAGTGAAAATGATGTTCATTCTCCCAGTTCTCCCTGTGGGGGTTGTATTACAAGCATGCTGTAAAAACTATTTCTCTTATCTGAAGATTCCTGCTGCAGCTGGTTTGCTGAAAATCAGTCTTTCAGGATGAGTTCCATATCATGGGTACTGTCTCAGTTATTAGATAAAACCTCATTGTGACACCTTGGTTTGGTGAATGCTTTTTTATTAGCTCTTTTTTGGTGAAAAAGATCGGTTTGAAATACTGTGTGTGGAAAATGTGCTTGAAGGATGGGCGAGTAGAAGAAAAGTTGGTTTGGCTGTTAGGCAAAATGAAGTCTGCTTTCTGGTATTTTTGTGATGGGGAATGAAAATGATGCCAAGGTGTGGTAACTGATGGATCCTTCGCTATGGAACTGAGAAAGTAAAGTAATAGAAGCATTTAAATGTATATGGAGCTGAGAAATTTATAGAGGTTAATGACAGAATAATTAAAAACAAATTGCCTGCCAAGAATATTTAAAGGCTTAATTTTACAGGTTTCGCACATGTCTGCTCAGCCAGGACCTTATGGCCAAGGTCAACAGTATTTACCAAATCCTGGAAGCTTTGTTCAGAACCCTGCAGGTACTGTAATAGTAATGGTATAGAAATAGTGATTTCCTTCCGTGTCCTTTGGACTGTTCTCTGTTCATGACCACAAAAACGAGTGCTGTACTGAGGTGATGTGGTGGGTCCATGTGCACTGAGGGCAGCCTTCAGTGAGATGGCAGTAGGTGTGGTTTTGGGAGTACTGTCATCTCTGCAGGGGTTTCCCTCAAGCAGTGAGAGCTTTCATTAACCACATGGTTTTGGTATGTAGTTACATTTCAAAACAAAACAAAAAAAAAAACCACACCAAAACCAATTTTTGGTTCGCTTTTTGGATGGCAGAAGGGCGCCTCAATTGGCCAGGCCGAATTAACATTCTCAATATATTAATTATTAGTCATAAAAGTCTTGTATCGAGTCGTAAACGATGTAAGTAGATGGATTCTCATGAGATCTTTAAGCACAAAACATGAAAATACAGTGTTTTTCATGGAAATCTCAGCACAGGACAGATGGCATTCCAAAATACTTACATTATGAAGGAAGTTGTAGGGGAGGAAATGAGGCAAAAGCTAGGTATGAGGCAAACTGAAGTGGATAAATAGACTGAAATTAAGAATGGAAGTAAGGGGTGGAAGGAGAAGAGTGTTGTGAAATATGCTGATAGAAGTGTTTTTTTTTATGCTAGCCTTTGGTGTCTTTGAGTGTTGTGACGTTTTTTTGTCCCCTCTCCTAGGAGGAGCCCTTCCACATGCATATCCTGATAACCACCTTGGTCAGCTTGATGTCAATGAATTGTTTGCTAAACTGTTGTCAACAGGAATCCTCAAACTGTCAAAAACGGATTCCACTTCAGCACGTATGTAGATTTCATTACATTCTAACTCTCCAGTTTATGCATAGCTGAAGTGTAAAGTGAAGTGTGAGAACTTTGTAACTCTTGTATTCTTTTTGCTTGAATGGATCTTTATGGGAAGCCATTCTGTGCATGTGAGAAAGTGAATTATTAACTTTCTAAATATATGTTTAAGCTACTTAGAGCCTGCAGTTTTGTTTTTGGCACCCTGCCTTGCTAACTTGTTCTGGATTTTAACCAGATTGTTGTCAGTTTCTGAAATACTTGTCTCTTTGAATACTGAATTTTGGTGCCAGAGCCTTAGATAAAACAGTGCTATCTCAAATTGCCATTCTGAGTAGCACAGTGTCTTTGTATGCTTTTCAAACTATGAGACTGACTCAATTCTTACGCACGTTCAGCTTAGTGTATTCAGATGATTAACATTTGAATAAATATAATGTTCGGAGCACCTTGTTTTGTTCTGAAAATGAACTGAAGTTTTGATGAACTTCTTTGTTTTAAAGAAGCGAATGAAACATCGGCGCAGCCAGCTGCTGAAGAGGAGGATGATGACCAGGGTGATCACGATGTCCCAGACCTCACAAACTTTAAAGTTGAAGAACTCAGACAGTGCGTATTGTAGCATGAGCTTACACTGCACTAGGAATAATGGCATGGTGGTATCTAGATAGTTAATCCAAGATGGTTGAGAAGGTGTGATGTAACAATGCTAGCGTGTTCCTTGTGAGTAGTTAATGGTTATTTGAATGCTTTTAATTTATTATTTGAATGCTTTTAATTTACTTACTTGAATGCTTTCAGTTGACTGTGTCATATGCTTTAACCTTACAGGAGGAAATGCTTTTCTTCTACTGCTGAGGTCGCTTGAAAGAACTTACAGAGAAACTTCCCATTTCTTCCCAAAGCGTTGACTTCTTTTTGTTTTTCTAGGCGTTATGACAGTGTTATAAATCGACTTTACACTGGAATTCAGTGCTACTCGTGTGGAATGAGATTTACTACTTCACAGACAGACGTTTATGCAGACCATTTAGATTGGCATTATCGTCAGAACCGTTCAGAAAAAGACGTGAGCAGAAAAATTACACACAGGAGGTGGTACTACAGTGTAACGGTGAGTAATGCAGGATGTGTGCCTTGCTAATGGAGGGCTGGGTTTGGTGTTTTACATACATGCCGTGGGATTGCAGTTGAAGTTGCGTTGTCATTGGAGTTTGGAGATCAGTGATGTCTGATATTTCAAGTAGCTTTTATACATACCTGCCAAATCAAAAGGCAGTTAGGTGGTGAATAATAAGCAGCTTGGAGTTATCCGTACTGCTTTGGTTGGACTGAGAATGGAATGAAAGTTGAAGGATAAAGGCCTTTCACAGGACTGTTTCAGTTTTAGTGAACTAAGATCAATTACATTTGTTACTTCTGGGATTTCATTTTTCTTTTTCTTTCAAATGTATTTTATTAACCATTTCTGGCTATTTGTGATTGTGAATGAATCCTTGTCCTTAGGATTGGATTGAGTTTGAAGAAATAGCTGACTTAGAGGAGCGTGCAAAAAGCCAATTCTTTGAAAAAGCTCATGAAGAAGTTGTATTAAAGACACAGGAAGCTGCAAAAGAAAAGGAGTTTCAGAGTGTCCCTGCTGGACCAGCTGGAGCAGTTGAGGTGAGTTTCAGCTTGCCTGCCATAACCCATGTGGTCTATAAGTAGACTGAAGTCTTGTTTTTGTGCAGTACTTCCTAGGTTTTGCATTTACGTGTATGTAACGTTTGTTTCCTTGTGGCAGTAGCAGTATAACTAACCAGTAGTTGAACAACTTCTATGCTTGTTGGCATTCCGTGGTTGAAAGGGAGAAGTGTGTTGGTTTGAGTGTTTCCATAGGAAGCATAAGTAAAAGAAGCTTGTTGGATTTCTAAGTAGGAAATGGTTGCTTGGGATTCAGTAGATGATAAATGATGTGTTACCTTGATACACACACACAAAGATTGTTCTTTACAAGATGGGCATTCGGAAGAGCTGTCATAATCTTCTGACTTGAAAATAACCAGCAGGTCTGTGTTTTGGTAGACCAGTGGATATAGCAGTTGTTCTTATATGCTAAGCCTACAAGAAACGAGGTAACAAAGGCATCAGGGATTTTGTTTCAGTCTTAAAAAATTACCTTTTGTGCCTTGTTCTCAGAGGTGACTTCATTTTGCAGAGAAGTGTTAAGGGTTTTAATACTTCTTGTGCAGTTCTCACTCTGTCTCAAAGTTGAGTTTTGGAAGATGCCGTAAACTAAATCCCCACACCAGATTGGCTTAACTTGACAGTAAAACAGCATTAGATTGTTACAGAGTGTCTTGCAGAGACTTCCTCGTTGAGGGAGCAAAGTTTAACTTTTTCAAGTGATAAATATTGTTGCTCATTCTACCAACTGTACTCAAATAATTTCTATTAACATTTTCTTATTTTTGAAGCCTGGAGGTAAAATGTTGTAGTCTTAATATTATCTTAATGTATGTATACATACAACTGCTGCCAGCCAAGTTGCTGAAGTTGGTGTTCAGTAATAGTTTTAATAACACCATGTATCATGTTACTTCAATAACTTCTCAGAGGTGTGAAATCTGCCGGGAGCAATTTGAGCAGTACTGGGATGAGGAGGAGGAAGAGTGGCATCTAAAGAATGCTATCAGAATGCATGAGAAGGTAATGCAATTTTTTTATACATGGTACTCATTTATATTGAAAAGCGAAACAAAAGCATAACAGAAGAATTATAGAAAGAAATAGGCCACAGTGACCTGTCTTTTCTGAAGGACTCCCCTTTTAGTTTTCCTGCTTCTAAGTGCATAAATATCTCAACCTTTGGATGTGCTTGAAGTCCTGGTATCATTAGTACATGCTCACTGGGCTTCCCTCATACTGTGTTGCTAAAAGATAAACGAAGGTGATCGTCTCTGCTTAGCATTGTTGAGTCTGCCTGGATTACTGGATCCACTTCTGGGTCACTCATTACAAGAGAGAGACTGTGCTGGAAAGAGCCCAGTGCTGGAGCCTGTCCCTCTTTGGAGGTCTTCAAAAGCCAAAGCATGTGGTCCTTGGCAACTTGGCTCCAGATGTGCCTTCCACCCATTCTGTGATTCTGTGAATGTTCCTGTGAGTGTGGGTGTTGGTTGTGGTCCAATTATTTCTGTATTTAGCTAGCTATGCAGAAATAATTCCCTGTGCTTACAGGATTTTTGTGTGATGCTTTTCCTAAATAAGCATATACCAGATATTTTCCCAGTCGCATTTGACACCATACTTGATTTACACATCATTGTCCTGGAGGAATGGTGTGATCTGTTTGTGTCTGTGCTTTTACTGTATTTGTAATGTATTTAAACGGGTAACAATTATTTTCCAGATTTACCATCCATCCTGTTACGAAGATTACCAAAACGTAAGAAAACCCTTACTTTCATATTTTTTAATGATTTTGCTTTCAGTTTGTTTGCTTGATCACTGTCTTTATATGGAGCAGGTCTTCAGAATCAGTTCCTCTTGCATGTGCCTAGGGAAAGAATCAGAGGCCTTGGGAATGGCAAGTTTGTAATGCATAATTAGAGTTAGTTATGATGTATCCATGACAGCTTTTGTATCACATAAGTGAAACTAAATTGAAGCCATTATGAATGTATTGTTGAGTAACGTGCGTAATTGTAGGAATTTTAAGAAATTGAGAAAATGAATGTTAGTATCTGTTAACTTTGTTAAGACTTAGGAGCTAACAGTTCCTTTTGGGAGGATAGTTGGGAATATTTAACAGTAACATATTAAGCATTTCATCACTGTGAGGATACTGTTTGAGAGTAATTACAAAAAGTAAATGCTATTATATAGTAAGTTTTGTTATTAGATAAAGTAGAAAGTAATATATAAAGTAAAGTTTGGAATTTGAGTGATCTACTGCCCGTGTGTTTGCATTTTGGAAGAGACAGAGAGGGAGAGAAGGTAAAAATGGTTGTTTGAACAATGTGTTAATGCTGTATGAATGTTTGTTTTATAGACATCATCATTTGATTGCACACCCTCTCCCAGCAAGACCCCTGTAGAAAATCCCCTAAATATTATGTTGAACATTGTTAAACAGGAAACGGATGAGTCCTGTGACTCACCTCAAGTGAAAGAAGAACCTGATGACACCCCTCCTGCCTGTGCAGAAGAGAGCACACCTGCCTCTATAGATGTTAAAACAGAACCAGATGAGTCTGTTTAGATTGAGGTTTGATTTTTTTTACAGAAGAGCTCCTGTGTTAATTCTGGAAAGCAGATACTTTTTATAGGAAATAAAAACGTTCAATTGAGGCAGGGCCTCAGCTACTGTTTCGTTAATAAATAAATAAATAAATACATTTTTGTATTTAAATTTCTTATTGCCTGCACTGTTTCAGGTGTCATTGTGTGAAAATTCTGTACATGCGTGAAAATTTAATGGAATGAAATTGTATATGTAAAAATGTACAATTTTCACTTGTGGAAATGTAAATTATAAATAAAACATATTTTTGCTATATATGGAGTGTAATGTTTATGCACACCATCAAATGAAGACAGTGTTTCTGTACTTTTTTCAGTTTAAACGGAATTAAAAAGACCTCAGTTTTAAACCTCTTACTGAATAAGATTCAGAAAAGCAAAAGCAAGCAACTTCAGTTATCTCATAAGTGGGTGATCAAGGGAAGCAGTGCTGGAACTTCTCAAGACGAAAGCCTAGATTTCTTCTTAAATTTACTTGAACAAACTTACATATCCGGATATAAAAAAAAAAAAGTAACCAAAAGACCGTTCTGGGTAGAATGACAGAATATAACAAAGCAACCAGAGTGCTTGATTGTGAACACAAGTGCCAACAGACAATTAACATACCAGGATGCCTGGTAGTTGAGACATTTTAATGATTATTTTTTTCCTTTAGTCACACATAAGAGTTTAATACAGCTGAACAAACTTTTCTTTACAGGGGGGAATGAATCTAAGAATGCTCATTTGAATTTTTTTTTTTGTTGCTTATGACTGGATTTAGGTGATAAACCAGCTATCCTGAGATGTTAATATTTCTTAAATGTAATAAATAAAATGAAGCATATATTTGTGTCGATCTCTTTCTTTCAGTAATGGGTTTGTGTGTTTGGGCATGTTTGTGGGATGGGCAGCAAGCTGTCATACAGTGTTTGTCTTGGGATAAGCATGCAGTTTGCCTGATGTGGGGTGGAATTCTTCTGAAAGTCAGAGGAAATATCACTGTCCTAGGATGTGGCTCTTCGGGTACTTAGAAAATCCAATTTCACCCCAGTGTGTGCTGTATCAGCTGTGAACCTGATGCTGCTGTTGCTTGCAGTGCTTCCCGTCTTCACAAGCAGACTGCAAGCAATAACCCTTGTGTAGCATCTTCCTGTAAGCTGCAACAAGAAGTTGCATATTAGAAAAAATCCCCTCGGATATGCAGAGTGATTTCTTTTGTTCCCATTGAAGGAAGTCGGTTTCCTTGGAGGCCGTTGGGTGCTTAGGCAAGGGGCTGAAGAACCGAGGCAGTGTCACAAAAACACCTGAGAACGCCTCGGGTTAAACGCACAGCTGTGACTCGAGCCAGAGCATCCCACAGCGCGGGCAGGTGAAGTGCTTGGCAAATACCTGCGGGGGTTGAAAACAGGCAGCGGTTTGCTGTTTTTTTCCCGGGAAAGGGCCTCAAGAAACCACCCCAGCGCTGCCCAGCCCAGCCGCCCCGCGGGGCAGGGCCCGTCCTGCCTGGACGCCATGGCCGCCACTCCCGCCAAGCGCCGCCCGCCATTTTCCTCCCGCGAGGACAGCGGGCGCCGCTCCCATAGCAACGCCGCTGCGACGTGGGGGAAGGAGTGAAAGAAGAGGAGAAGAGCGCGGCGCCAGCCCTATTTCGGCCGGTGAGACCGCTCCGCCCGCGGCCTTCTCCCCGGTCCTTCCCTGAGGGCCGTGCCGTGCCGCCCCGCGCTCGGGGAGCGGTGCTCCCAGCGGTGCCGTTCCCGCCTCGGCCGTGAGCGAGGCGCCCCGCGGGGCGGCTGTGCCCGCGGTGTTTGGCCCTCCTCAGTTGTTTTGTCCGTCTGTTAACATGTCTGTTTGTTATTGGGCCCACCTAAAATACCCCAAGCTAATTGATATTTGCCGAACACGCGGGGAAAGGTGGCATAACCGCCATGGACACTGCCGGGATGGGGTTATAACCCCACACAGAACTCAGCACCTCAGTCTTTGCCCACTGTGTGGCTTTGTGCCTCATCCCCTTCAACTGCTGCCAAGAAGCATCACATTGTTGTGTGTTATGGAGATAAAGGAAAAACCTAACGTTGTGCCTTTCCCTCAGGCTGAGTGATTTCTTGGGTGAAGTCTGGTCAAGTACTGTTGTAATGCTTACCCACTTACCTACTTCTTTCTACAGGGCAATTTTTTCCCTAGGAAACAAGCATTTGATAACAAATTGCACTGAAGTTATGGAAAATGTCACTCTCTCTCAAAACCAGTGTGTTTTGTACAGGGTTCGTGTTAACAGCTGTTCATTAAACTTCACTCCCAGCCGTGCTTGTGGTGCCTGAGCCATGGGGCTGCAGCTTGGCACCCATCTGCACACAGGCATAGGTCATTGCCCCTTCCACAGGAGGAAAGAGGGCAAGATTCTTCTGGATTAAAAAATAATAAATATTACCTTGAACCCATAGCACTGGAATGTGGTGTTAAGTGCATTAGTGCTTTGGCAAGCAGTGTAGTTAGCTTCATCTGTCTCTGAGGTAAGTCTGCATCATTGTGCTGAAGTCTGTAACCCTCACCTGGCATCATGAGAATTTGCTTCCTTGTGGGAAAATCAGTGAAACTCTCAGTTTAAAAAACACAACACCAAAACGCTGCATGTACTTAAGTTTTATTTAAAAACATGAACTGGATGAGCCCCGGAGGTCCCTTCCAACCTGAGCTATTCTGAGTTGCTGCTGGTGTTGGTTCATGCAGCATTTTGCTGCCGTTGTGCACGGCAGTGGTACAGCCTGGCTTGGGTAGGGGGGGAAGTGGGAGTGGAGTGATGATGCACAAGGGGTGTGTTACAGCACTCAGCCTGGCTTATTGAAACAGTTGAAGCCCCTCTTTTCTTTGTGGTAATGCTGAATCAGCCAAGCACTACTGTCATGCTACAGATTACATGGGAATAGGTACTGGTAGATAGTGTCAGCTGCTTTTCATCATGTTCAGTGCTTTTATGTATGCCAGGAACCTTTGAGCAACAACTCACTGATACGCTTTAACATTTTTGATCTCACGTTTTTAATAATTCAAACTATTGCCTCAATTTCTTCTCCATGGGCAGGAAAACCGAGGCACTAATACCTTAAGACCAACATTTACGTGCGTGCTTGACTTGCAGGACAGCAATCTGCTTCTTCAAGACTTCTTAGAGCCTGAAATTTAATCAGAGATTGTTGGTGTATTCTGGTTCCAGAATGGTGACTACTCCAGAAGGTGATTACTAATTGTTTTGGATTACTCATACGCTTAGCTATCTGAAGTTAGCCGTCTCAGCCATTAGATCTACTTACATCACTTATTTTTGTTGGCAAATGTAGGCAAAATGCCAAAATGTTGCAAGAGGATTTAGATATCCAGCTCCCATTGTTTACAGTTACACTGTCAAACAGTAACAAGGCCTGAAGGAAAACACAGACTGTATGATCCCATGTCCTGGTGATGGGTTTTTTTGGACCACGCTGCATCTATGTTTAGAGTTTGATTCCGAGCCACTGAAGTCCATGAAAACATTATTGACTTTGGTGGGAGTAAAATACCGGGCTTCTAACAACGTAACCTGTGCCAGAGTGGTGCTTTGGCCCCATGCCCCCAGTACAGCATGCCTTGGTGTGCCATGTCCTTGATAGCAGCAACGAGCATGGCCATGTGAATCCCTGAGGATCAGTGGCTGAGCACCTGAGAGCGTGATTGATGACAGAGTTTGTGATGCCCACAGCTTTGAAAGTGAGCCAGCATTGGGGATGGACTTGATCCAGCATTTGCATGCATAGATGGAGTTGCTTTGCTGTCCTGTTCTTTTTCTGGGGCTGGAAGGACGTGGCTCTTTCAGGTTTTTGAATATTGCTTTGCTTCTGGGAAACAGAAGTGGGTAAGGACTCCTGCTGATACATTACACTCTCATAGGTTACACTTTTGGCTGATTCTTATAAACTGTTCTTTGATTCATCACTTCTTTCATCTCTCTGAAATGTGACCAAGCTGGCTAATGCTATTATTATTCCTCACTAGATGTCAGGAAGAAGCAAACTTACACCAATGTACATGAGGCAGTGAAAGCTGGTGATGTAGAACAGCTTGCATTAATGGTAAAACGCGGAGCCTCTATCGATGAGGTGGATTTAGTCCACAAGTTCACACCGCTGCACTGTGCTGCACACTCTGGAAGCTTGGAGGTAAAATCATAGAGTGATAGAATGGCCTGGGTTGAAAAGGACCACATTGATCATCTAGTTCCAACCTCTGCTGTGTGCAGGATCACCAACCACCAGACTAGGCTGCCCAGAGCCACATGCAGCCTGGCCTTGAATGCCTCCAGGGATGGGGCATCCACAGCCTCCTTGGGCAGCCTGTTCCAGTGTGTCACCACCCTCTGAGTGAAAAACTTCCTCCTAATATCTAACCTAAACCTCCCCTGACTTGGTTTAAAACCATTCCCCCTTGTCCTATCACCATCCAGTCAGTGTCCTCAAATTTTACAAAATCAGAGTTTTTCTTACTCCAAGCAAGGTGTGCCTTTTGGCCTTTCTTCTAGCCTCATTACTTTCGTCCCTCTTCTGTTTTCTCCTTCACTCAGAACACTCGGAAAATCCATAAGGTTATGTATAATGTTCTGAAAGTGACTGAACCAAGTGAGAAGTGACACAAAAATATTTGTTCAGTTACCAGTGTTCTGTCCCATGCCTCATTCTCTACAGAAATACTTCAAATACAATTCATTTTAATAAACAAGAACACTGCCTACTGATGCAGAGATGAGCAGGTACTTGCTGCACAAATGATTTGATTTCCAGAAGAACTGAGCTGCTGCATTCAGCACAACATTCACCTTCTTGTTACAGCCTCCTTGTGCAACATTTATTGTGATCTTACTTTGAAACAGCAAGGCTGTAAATAACCATACAGAGAGCAAAGTCCCAAAGGAAAGAATGTCAAGTTTTCCTAAATTGGAGAACAATAAATGCAGTGCTGTTACTGCAAGGTACAGAAACTGTCAAGAAAATGCTGATGATTGTGTTGTCAACTCTAAAAATCACTTGCCCACCCTTATCTGCCTCTACAAATTCTACCATTTTTCATTTAAGTCTCCTTTGCAATCAGTGTATTTGGGTTTATTGAATTATCTGTCCCTCAATTGTTACTAAGCTCCTTGGTGGAAACAGGGCAGGAAGCAGGGCTCAAGACTAGCCTAAAAGAAGACAGGAAATAATAATAATGTATAACAAAAAGCTTTAACTATTTTTGTAGCTTATTATTGATTTAATAATTGTTCAAGCTTTCCATGGAAAGCAATAACACCTGCTGAAAAAAAGGTGAATAAAGCTAAAATAATGTGTGATGGGTGAGAGGAGAGGAGGGATTACATGCACCCAAGAAGCCTAATAAATGAATTTAGGCTCTGCATTTGATTCATGGCATTTTTCCTACTGTTCATGTTAGCTGGACTTCAAGTGAGCATGTTTGCATCATTTTTCCTAATGTTTTTACCTCATGTCACATGAATGCTCTCGCAGGCTGCATTTTAAATCTGAAATAGTAAAATCAAGAAGCCACCCTGTAAGATCATTGCAATTAGAAGGTTGGTTGTGCTTTCTGTACCCTTAGATGAAGCCTTGAAACAATCTCATTTCCTAGTAGCTAACGCTGTTTGAAATGTTACATCTGCTGTTAATTTATGGTTAACATTTGCCCCGATAAGTTGTAAGAATTGTTAAAGAAGAATGTATTAAATAAAACGAGTTTATTTTGGTTGAGCAGTGCCTTCACTGGTTGCTCTGGCATGGCGCTGATGTGACACGTGTGGCAGTCAGAGGCTGGACGGCAGCCCACCTTGCGGCGATCCGCGGGCAGGATGCTTGCATGCAGGTACGTAGGGATATTCACTCTTCAGCAAAAGGAAGGCAGGCCTTTGCTTTGGACACTTCCTTAAGAAAATCAGCTGAGAGTGCTCCTACTGGAGCTGGATCTCATCTCTGTGTCTACAGCTGAAACCAAGTCACTGGTAAAACGAGTGCACTTGTTTGTTCCCTCTTTGCTAACATTTATTTTGTGTGGTGACCCCAGAGCTACCCAGCTGATCATCTCAAGTCATCCTGCCAGGCATCGTTTGCCCTTTCAGCCTGTGAACTGAGCTCAGACTTTGCGTTTCTTGTAGGCTTTGTTAATAAATGGAGCAAACCTAGAAGCTCGAGATGACCGTGGCTGCACTCCGTCACACCTGGCTGCAGCCCACGGGCAGTCGTACACATTGCAAACCATGCTGCGAAGTGGAGCGGTGAGAGACTCCTACCTGCTGTTCCCTAGGGCAGAGCCAGAGTCTGGTATCTTTTTCCATACCAAGCCCTCACTAGCTGAGGTTTGGGACCATGGATTGATCTCTGTCGGTACATTCTTGTTGGGAATTTATTTGTAGTATAAATTTCCGTTTTTTAATTGTAAGAGATTGTAGGTCTCTAGATCCAAAAATCTAGAGAGAATCAGTAACTTGGGACAGATTTGGACAGGGAAATCACTAAAAGAAGGTCAGGTGCTGCGGTGGCTGTGATTTTTTTCCAGTTGTACAAACCTTCTACAGTAATAGATGTTAAAAAAATCCAGCTGTATATTTAAGAATAATGACTAATATGGTGATAGAAGTATGACTGAAAATGTGTTTTATTCCAGTAAAGCCTGTGAGAAATACATCTTATGCTACTCTCATGGCTTGAATTTGGAAAAATATTTCATTTTGTTTAAATCATGTAGCACAATGAACCATCGATTCTTATCTATAAAATATCTTGTGTCTAAGCTTCATAAACAAATTAACCTGCTGCTTTCATTTTAGAATGCAAACGTTGCAGACAGGAATGACTGGAAGCCTGTTCATTATGCTGCTTTTCATGGTCGCTTGGGCTGTTTGCAGCTTCTTGTTAGATGGGGAGCATGCATAGATGATGTGGATACTGATGGAAACCTTCCAGGTATGTCAGGAATAATCATTTGTTTTTTCAACCCTTATTGTGTATGTGATAACTGTGGCACATCATAAATAAAACACACCAGCAGCGTTGATATGGCAATAGATAATGGTTTAGTAGGACAAAAGGGAGCCATTTAAAACTAAAAGAGGAGATTAAATGTTAGGATGTTCTTCCCTCAGAGGGTGGTGAGGCCCTGGCACAGCTGCCAGAGAGCTGTGGTGCCCCATCCCTGGGGGTGCTCAAGGCCAGCTTGGATGGACAGCCTGAACTGGTGGGAGGCAACCAACCCAAGGCAGGGGGTTGGAACTGGATGATCTTTCAGTTCCCTTCCACCTGAACAAGTCATTCTGTGATTCCATGTTTCTGGAGGTGTTCAAGGCCAGGTTGGATGGCACTTTGGGCAGCCTGGTCTACTGGGAAGTGTCCCTGCCTCCCCATCCATGGATGGTCTCTAAAGTCCCTTCCAAACCAAACCAGCTGATGACTGTATGATTTGTTCCATGTTATCAACCTGATTATTCCATTTTTATAATGATGGGAGAATACATAAATCCAAAGTACTTGTTGGTTGGCAGCAGTATCCTGTTCAGCTCCTCTGCTGCTGGCAAGGCTCACATCAGGAGCAGGTTCAGCCTGAGTGCTGTGTATGTGGGCATCCTCTGTGCCTGTGCCTATGGAGATCACAGGAGGAGAAGGGCAGGTGGGGCAGCAGGCAGGCTCTGCTGCTATCTGCTCCTTTTTGAATGTATACCAAGCTTGAACAGCTGTGCCTGTGTGATCAGATTCTGGCGTGTTCATATGCAAGCTTTTGCATCCAACTGTTTCTTAACTGGATTGGTAAAACCCTTGTTCTCATTTACCTCTGATTTCTCCATCTTGATTTACGGCATACCAGTATTTCTGTATATCTGTAGTCTGTAATCTCTTCAAAATCCTGTGTGTAGCCACTTCAGCATAAAAAATGAACACTCTGTTTCTTGCCCTTCGTGGTTTCTCCACCATCCCTTTGCTTATCACACTCCTGCCTCAAATTACTCTGTAAGTTGAATGTTGTTGTTCAACCCTTTGTTCTTGTAACATCATTTCCCCTTTAACATTTGCCTTCTTATGGTCTGTCGTATTATTTGTTCCAAATAGCAAAAGTTTTCATCCCTCTGTAACGTGTTTAGAGGTTTAGATTTAAAATCCATTTTAAAATATTTTATCCTCTGCTGAGCACCATTTATCCAGAAAACCGATGTCTGTGTTCTGTCCTGCAAACCCAGAAGCTCTTACATCTGGTGTAGTGGCTCATGCAGTACAGGAATGTGATGTTAGGCACTCTGCTGACAACATAGGAGGTAGCTCTGTTTGCATTTGGGAACACTTCTTTTTATGGAGAGGTGGTGAATAACAGCACCGTTGCACTGAAATGCCCTGTTGTACTGGTTGGTCAAGAGTTGTTTTGGTTATTCTTCTGAAGCCGCTTTGTTCAGTCCTTGTTATGTTCATTTGTGTCTGTTATCATCCAGAAGAAAGAAAATACTTTGTAACACTGCTAATAAAAAATGAACAGAAGTGCTGTGTTCTACATACCAGTGTCAATTTAAATCATCTTTATATAATTCAGCTTCAAGATTAGCTGGCCAGTGCTATAATTTAACCTGAAAGTACTGACAGGAATTTACTGAGGATTGCAAATCCACGCTCCTAAAACTTAAGAATTGTAAGACTGCACCTTTTGCATGTTTGTTATGGCAGAGGCTTTAATTACCTACAGTATGTTCATTTGTTTTGGAGGAACTATGGCTCATTCAGTGCCCTAAGTAGGCTGTGTTTATTATTTCAACATTTTGTTTTCTTTCTATATTCTCTTTTTTAACCATGCTTCACTTATGTCTTACTAGTGAAGCCTGTTCTAAATACCATATTTAATTGTAGTGCAACGCCTGATTTTTTCATATACGTGGTTCTTTCACTGTCCATTTAGACAGCAGTGAATAACTTCAGCTCGATTTTATAGGAGGTGAGATGAAACATGGAGAAGTTGGGATCCCAACACCAACCGTGATGCCTAAGATAAAGATTTTCAAAGTTCTCAGCACTAGGCAGCATATTTTATGTTAACATCACAGAACTCTTTGGCTTTGGTCTCAAGAGCAAGTGCTCAGCGTGTCTGAGGTTGTGTGGCACTGTTCCATGCTGGGCACTGGCTGATAAGAAGCACACATTAAAAGCATATGAAAATTCCTTTATGCCTTCCACAGAGCCTGTCTGCAAACCTGCAAAAGGACACAGGCCGAATGGAGCTCTGCAGTGTCTTTTTCCTTTGCTGTTTTTGCAGAAAACCTTGAGCTTCTCTGACTGCTTTCTGCATAGGATAGGCACTGCGTAACGCGTTATCTCAGAAGGTGAAGTTTTATCCCTGGGATTCTTAGGTATTTGAAAGTGGATTCATATGGATTGAGACTGTTTTTCACCAGCTGACCAGTTATCAGTATCAACTTCTGGAACGTGTCTCTTCATTTCACTTCTTCCTAACTCACTGTGAGAATGGTTTGCAATAGAGATCTCCAATGTGCCAGAAGTTAGCTTAAGTGAATTAAGTGATTTTTTTTTTTTTTTTTTTTTGCCCTAGATACATTGTTTAGCAATTAGGAAGATAATCAGAAACATGTAACCCTTTTTCCTGCAGAATGGCAGCCAGAGCATTTTGATGGAGTGATTATGCATGCTGGATTAATATGTGGAATGATAATCCACATTGAATTAATACATGGAGTGATAATGTGTTGCCTAATAAAGGCAATCTAACTTGCATTTTGCAACTTCTTCCCATTGATGGACTGGAGACTATGATTTATTTCATAATAATGGCCATGTATTCTGAACCTCTTACTTTGTTGCAGGCCCAGCACTCTGCTGGTGTTGAATAACTAAAGCTCAGTGTAGCCTAAAGGACAGGGGAGGAAGCACTTGTGCTCTGCAGGGAAGCAGTCACTGCTGTGCTGAATCAGAGCAGCTCCTGCCCACACAACTCTCCACGAGTGTAAACATTAAAAAAAATGTCACAGAAGCACAGTGAATGCATCTGTGTATTAATGGGAAGATCAGGGGATGTACCTCCAAAGCTCTACCAGTAAAGTGAATGTCACTGTCATTTTACAGGTGAAGTAATGGAGCTGCAGAGGTGTAATGCAGCTTGTTGGGGGTGCTGCAGTGGATGTGGGACTGAAACAGATGCCCTAACTCCTATCCAAACCCTCCCTTTGCAGGCCATCTGTAGTCTTATCTAGGAGAGTGAGGCCAGATCACAGCTGCTGAGGAGTGAGCATTCCATGGGGAACAGGAGACCCCACCAGTGCATCCCTAGCTGTTGCTCTGGGATCTCTTGGCAGCGTCATGCTGTGTTGGCTGCAGTCAGCTCTACCAGGGCATTTTCTGTGCAGATCCTGTCCTTATCAGCTTTCTTTTACCTCCTTTGCCTATAGCTGAACCCCATATAGGAGCTGAGCATTGCCTGTGCAGGGTTGAGCAGGTCCCTCCTGCTGTGCAGGGTTGAATGCCTCAAGTGCTGGTAGAGGAGCTAGATGTAAATGGTAGTGGCAACACTGCCTTCTTGATGGTCAGCAATGCCCTGCTCTAACATACATGGTTTCCCCTTGTGCTGTAGCTCATTTGGCAGCAGTGGAAGGACACCTGCATTGCTTTAAGTTCCTGGTCAGTAAAATGGCCAGTGTCGTGGGTGCGCTGAAAGCCAGGAATGACCATGGAGAGACTCCAAGGGACTTGGCTGAGCGGTTCTATAAAGACAATATTCTGCAATATATTGACAGTGTGGAAAAAGAGGAGGAGCATCCAGAGACACAGGAAGGTGAGTAGGGATGAAATGTTAAAAGTTGATTACAATTTGTACTGTTAAAATAGACATTGTTAAAATTGTTAAAAAAAATAATAATTCTATGAAGCACTGGATTCTGAGATCTGTGCGAGCAGAACTATGACCCTTGTATCACCATTGTAAGGTACAGCTGTTGCTTAGGATATTTTTGGCACCATTACTGATAGCTAGACTGGGATACTCAGCACGACTTTATAAATATGATTTACAGTAATCAGAATTAGGCTTCTCACATTGTGTTGCACTATGAATACCAAGTTGCCCATGCTCTGCCTGCACTCCAGTAGAGATCCAGAATCGCTGAATTTGCAGATTTGCCTGCTCATGATCCTGAATAACTGCTGAGCCTGGAAGGATCCCACTGAAATTAAGGTTACTTGCTAACCAGGAATACTACTGCAGTCAGCATGGCAAAGGACACAAGGGTAGCAAGGTTTCTAAATAGGACGTTCAACAGAGCAAGGATATGAGCACTGCACCTTCACCTCTCTACTGTTCCCAGGCACACACTTTCCCTGTCTGCTAGTCTTCTGTCATTGTGCTTACACATATAAATACTAACACTCTCCACCTACAAAAAAAAAATAACCAGAAAAATCAAATGGCCTGCATGAATAGCTTTTAAGCAAGAATCATAGAATCACAGAATGGCCTGGGTTGAAAAGGACCAAAATGCTCATCCAGTTCCAACCCCCTGCAATGTGCAAGGTCTCCAACCACCAGACCAGGCTGCCCAGAGCCACATCCAGCCTGGCCTTGAATGCCTCCAGGGATGGGGCATCCACAGCCTCCTTGGGCAACCTGTTCCAGTGCATCACCACCCTCTGAGTGAAAAACTGCCTCCTAATATCTAACCTAAATCTCCCCTGTCTCAGTTTAAAACCATTCCCCCTTGTCCTATCACTATTCACATTGACAAACAGCTGTTCCCCCTCCTGTTTATACGCTCCCTTCAAGTACTGGAAGGCCACAATGAGGTCTCCCTGGAGCCTTCTCTTCTCCAAGCTAAACAAGCCCAGTTCCCTCACCCTTTCCTCATAGGAGAGGTGCTCCAGCCCTCTGATCATCTCAGTGCCCTCCTCTGAGCTCCGTGTCCTGCCTGTACTGGGGGCCCCAGGTCTGGATGCAGTGCTGCAGATGGGGCCTCACAAGAGCTGAGCAGAGGGGGAGAAGTAATATAGTTTATATATTTGGGTAGACTGTGGAAATCTGGGTAGGCAGATGACTACTGTTACCACCAATAATAGAACATTAACTGTAAAACAAAGGTATGCTTGTTATTTCAGATTTGTGAAATTAATCACTGAACTGTATAAGATGCCTGTAGTCATGACCAAGAGAGGTTTAGTCAAGTCTGTGATGAACAATCCTAGATATGCAGCTGCATTTTAGCTAATTAAAAGTTCATTAACCTTGCTAGCTACAGCTACGGAATGTCTGTGAGTTGCTATCGTAGAGGCAAGTTGTTTGAGACAAATATGACCACGTTTAGTGGAATTACTGGCATCTGTTCAGAAATGTGTATTTCATTTTCAGTTTTAGCTTTCCCAGCCCATGATGCTGCTTTCAGAGGGGACTTGTTAGTACTCAGAAGATTAGTGAGATGTGGAGTAATCAATATTAATGAGCGGGATGATAAGGGATCCACTCTCATGCACAAAGGTCAGTAATTATGATTGATGTTTGAGCTTTTTCCTGTTTATTGCTGGCTTCTTTACTTACATTTTCAAATGGCTGCTCATTAGATAAACTTAATGAAAATCTCATTTCCTGAGGGCTCAAAGGAGCAACCTTGAAAATATTTTATGATGGATGCATGTGTAGGGGTCACTTTAAAAACAAAATAGCCAAACTGAAGTCAAGATAGAACAGTTTGCTATGAAAAGAAAACAACATCCAAGTTGATTTTTTTTTATCTGGTGGGATGCTACCTCCAGAGACGTGGACTAGTTAGGCATGGCAGTGATCTGCATTGTGGTTTGAGCCTTTATTTACTGAACATACTGCTGATGTGACATGAAAACCACAACAAAGTAATTTGGTAGCCCACTCTGCAGGCAGCAGGATTCCTGGTATCTAACATCTTGGTTTGTAGTAGAGTGCTAGCATTACAGGACATCAGTCCTCTTATGTTTGAGAGAAGAAATGGCAGGGGAGGCATTCTTGTAGTACACTTTTAACACTGTTTCCCACAGTTCTTTTGGCTTAGAGAAAAATGGCAGAATTTTTAAAAACATGTAGAGAACAACTTTACATTCCTTCACATTTCTTCCCATTATCTTTTCTTGGATGGTTTCTACCAACAATTGTTTCACCCCCAATCTTCACCCCCAGTGTTTCTGTTATGGGGAAATTTGGGGCTGATTGTCGGTACATTTCCTTATTTCAGTCTGACACATCTCCAAGTGGGGTGCTGTCAAAGGCAGATTTATTTTACTTAAGAAAAAGGCTTGCAGGTTTCATCCAGCAATGCCAAGGAGCATCTTCCACGTGTGATACATCATTACTAGGGGCCATGCAGTGTGGGCAGTAGCCCTGCTGATGCATGGGACTGAGAACATTTAGTTTAGCTCATGTACAGACGGAGTTGCACATATATTTCAGGGACCAGAGAAACTCTACATGATCTCTAAAATTGGGTGTACCCAAATGACTTGAGCATCTTGAAATATATCCTCTGAAATAGTCTCTCTCCTTTGTGGTCTTGGTGAACCCAACATCTTGCATGTTAAACCATAGCAGAAGGGGGATGTAGGAAGCTTAAAATGCTGCATTTGTGCACGGCTGACTTGCATGCACCTTCCTTCCCCCAGCTGCAGGACAAGGGCACATCCATTGCTTACAGTGGTTGATTGAAATGGGAGCTGACTGTGACATTACAGATGATGCTGGAGAGACTCCAAAGGATGTAGCCAAGAGGTAGCAGTACATGCCATGTAGCTCTGTCTTTTTTTAACCTTTATTTTACCATTTAAATATCTAGTCAGCTTTGTTGTAATTACCCCTGATTTTTGGTGATGAAGCAAGAACTAATTACAGCTCTGAGTGATAAGCAAAGCCACATTGTAGCTGTAAAAGATTGCAAATTTATTTTCTTCTGTTTATTTATTTATTTATTTATTTTTGAGCAAGGTCAGGTAGAAAAGATGCAAACTAACGGATCTGCAGAAGGAAAATTATGAGCCTGTGTGCTCCAGCTGTACAAAGTAAATGAGAGCAAGAGAAGGCTGGTTGATTTTTGATTTAATGAAAGTAATGTAGTTGCTGATGAGATTCAGTTAAGAAATCCTACAAAGCAAAATGTATTTCTGAAGTGGGAGGCGTCGTAATAAGATTTCAGTGAGGCAGAGTACTGTGGAAAGGAGATTGCTGTTCATAGTTTGTGTACCAGTGCTTCCTCAAATCCTGAAACTCTGTCCTCTAAATGGGAACAGGAAGTGTTTCAGAGTTTTTATCTCATGTGGGAGACATGGCTGTGTGTTTCTAGATTACAGGACTATATCAGTGTGGGTTAACTGTTCTCTGTGCAGATTTGCCCAGCTAGCAGCTGTGGAACTTTTGACCCAAAGAACTGGAGACAGTAACTCTAGTGATGAAGAACTGGATGCAAGCAACATAAAATTTTTTGAAAGACATGGTGTGGAAGGGAGTACAGACAGCAAAGAAGACTTAATCCTGGATAAAGCAGAGAAAAGGGATGCACGCAGTAAGCATTGTCTGACTTCACTCCTTGTTTGAGCAGTCCAAAGGTGTTGGATTTTTGGTTGCACAATTTCTGCCAACTGCCACATTTGTTTCCTGTTGTAGAATGAGTTTGTTGGTAGGTTATCTGTGACACTGAGTTGTGGAAGGTTAGGAAGAATGGCACAGGACAGTCAGAACATAACTGTTACACTGTTACAATCCCTGCAGTGAAACCACACTGGAATGCTCTTTGTTTCTGAGAGCAGTGTGCTGTGTGGGTCTCTGTCTCAGCATCTCTGTACCAGGTGTATCTTAGTGTCTGCTGAGCATTGTGGTTACTGCTCTGTGTGTGACTGTTTCCCATACTGCTGGACTTCAGCATGAAGTCTTCAGCTGTTTCCATGCATTTTACCTACCTGGAGAACCCTGTCTTACAGTAAGGGCCTATCGCAGGATTCAAGAACTTCAGCAACTTCTGGAAATTGCCTACAGCAACTACAGACAGCTGGGAGGAATAACTGAGGAGGAGAGGAAGATGAAAAAACATGAAAAGGAGGTTGAGAAGTAAGGTCAACTTTATAATGTGTCCCGTTTTAAAGCCTTCTTTAAGGTTACTTTACACTCATATTGCTTTGGCCATTCTGTCTTTTCCACTTAGTGAATTTAGCCAGCCTAAAAAGAAAAGGACTTCAGCCATTTGGCCATTTGTGGACTCCTGCCACGAGGGTCAACCTTGCAGTACAACACAAATGATTGATAGCTCCATACTTCTTGTGCTTGTGCAGGATGACAGCCTGCACAAGAAGACATCCCTGACTCTACCTCTGCCTGTCAGACGTTTGGCTATGCACTGTTCTCAGTCACTGTAGATGAGCATGTCCATTACATGCTTGGGCCACCTCAAACCAATGTCACAAATGATGTGCCATTAGTGGAGGCCGGAGAGCATCCCTAGGTCCACTTCTGAAACTGAAGTAGTGCTTCTCAGGGTACCTACAGAGACCTGTGTGTCAACTCCAAGATACTTACATTGTATGCTGGAAAACCCCATTATTTTAGCATGTTTATTGTCCCTAACATTGCAGGAATTGCTACGTGGGAAGGATTTCTAGCAGATTTTGAAAATGTCTCCTCCCTTTATAGCTTTGCTAATTCATTGTGGCACAGAGGAGAGCCAGCTCATTTCCAGATGACTCAGTTGCTGTTACATAGGGATAGATCAGAATTAAATCTCAGCTAACCAGTTCCAGGAATTTCAGTTAATTTAATAGACACTGTGACTGATGAGAACCTGTGCAACTGGGTCAACCAATGCTTCAGCTTCCTTTTAGTATGTGTCATGCAGGCTCTCATCTGATCGTTCCTCACGTGTGCTTACCCAATCACTTTAGGAAGCGTGCAGAGGAGCTGGGAGCCGAGCTGGGTTTCGTGCCGCCCGGCGCTGGCTCACTATGCGGGGAGACGTCTCCACCTCGCGGTCAGAAGCGCCGAGCACAGCTGGCTGTATGGTACGGAAAGCAGCCGACAGTGGAGCTTTTACAAAGGAGCCCGAGCCAGGAGTGCTCTACATTCGCGTTGTTTTCTGCTCTCTGTTCCTTAAAACGCGCTTGGAGCGGCCTGGGCACGGCTGTGTGCGCTCAGTGCTGTTTGTCCCCTTTGCTTTTGGCAGGGCCGTGAGGGAGCTGGAGGCGCAGCTGGAATCCGAGCGAGTCAGGAGGGAAAAGCTGGAGAGCCAGCTGGATGGCTGCCGCGCCGAGATCGGCCGCCTCAGGGAGAGCCGGGGGAGAACCCGCAGCCCTGCTGCTCTGCCTCCGGTTAGTGGGACGGACTGCAGCCCTGCTGCTTGGGCGCCTGTTCTCGCTAAGACTGTGGGGTGGTACTTGAGTGAGTACCTTAACAGCTTTCAGCTTGGCACGGTGAAGCAAGCAGCAGCCTTTGCTGCATCCTGACCTGAGACGTTATCAGTTTCTCTGTCCTTGGCAGAGAATATGGATTCTCTGTATTTAGAAAAGGGAGTGGAATGGTCCTTGAATGCTTCCATGGTTGGAATGGTTGGATGACTGGCTGTTCATCTTGGTGAGTAGCTGGTGCCCAGTTCAGACTGGACTGGGGACTTCAGGAGCTGCCCCTCATTCCCCAGCTGGCATAGCTGGTAGCAGCTACCACACATGTTGTAGGATCTCTCTTTTGCATCAGAACTCTCCTTCAGAATGGGTTCATTCTCCCCCCTTTTACCTCAGACTTGAAATAGACTTGGTGGAGGCCTGTAATATAACGCTGCTGTGTGCAGTGGCTGAATTCAACAATTAGTCTTGTGTCATATCTTAATTATCAAGCCCACTGACAGCAAAGCAGGTGCAAATAGGTTGACTTAGAAAACAGAAAACATATACACATATTTAATCAAATCTGACAGTAGATCACAAGTTCACACATTAAGTTTGAAGCCCAGGAGAGCTGGCTTTTCAGACCTTTCCCAGCCACATCATCGTATTTTTAAAGCCTGTCTTATGGTGCAGCAGATTTAAGTGATTGCTGCTTAATAGCTGTAATGATGTCCTTTGTTTCAGGAACCCGAACCCATCTCCATTTCCTGCAAAGAGAAAAAGAAAGTGAAGAAGAATCCACCCTGCAGGCATGGAGGAGTGTTTGTGAGGCTGCGCTGAGGAAGGAGCCTCAGACACAGGGCTGGCAGGCAGAGGGTGCAGAATGGCAGTGTCCAGTGCAAAGCACTTGTAGAGCCCAGTTCTGCAGATGAGCTGTGGTTCATCAAACTGCTTTCCCAGTTCTCTGGGACAGAAAATATTTCTAAATCACTGCAGCAAGGAAAACAAAAACAAACAGACCAGAAAGAAAAAAAAGAGGGCTTCTCTTCATGTCCAGGGTAGTTTAACAAGAGCTTTGCAAATTGGAACATTCCAAAATTCACCTGCAGCAATGTCATAGGCCCTAGGCTACGAAAAAGCTATCCTCACCTACTGGAGCTTGGTATCACTGCCCTGAAACAGAAAAAATAAATAAATAGGAAGCCCCTTACTTCAGCCAGGACCTGTGGGGTACAGACACAAAGAACAGCATTTGGGGTAAGTCCTTGCAAAATAGCAGCTGGATGCCAGGCAACTGACTTTTCATCTCTAGCCAATCTGTGCAGGCCACAGAATGGCTCTCATGAATAATACTTTGGCTGTTTTGATTCCAATTATAAATCCTTGTGTTATAAAGGTGAATTTCCTGGTGCTTGAATTTTGATGTGTCCTCTCCTTTGCTATCCAGAGAAGCTTAATTGTGGTAAGTTTCAAAGTTAGGGAAAAACTCTGTTTTTGTGTGCGTACGCAATAGATGGAGAACATCCTAAGCAATAACATAAACCTGTGCCAGACAAGGAGAAATCCAGAATCTGGATCATAGACTTCAAGGTGTGTGAGTGTGGTGTGGAGCTGCCATGAATGAGATTTGTCCCATCATTCTTGGTGCTGTTCCAACGTAGGAATGGTGCCGAAGATCAACCTGTGTCTTGCAGAGAACTCCAGAAATGGTTACAGTGTGTATGAGGATGGATGTGTGACGGTGCAGCAGTCACGTGGAGCAAGGGGTTGCCTCAGGTCCTCGTGCTGGCACCCCACACCTATTCCACTAACACATCCACAACAGAAAAAGCAGCCTCAGCTCACTAACTGTGCTGTGCTCATTATAAAAGCCACACTTGTACAATCCAGTCATCTGTATTCAAGCAATGCGGATAGCAAATGTAAGAAATCCATTTTATTTTCTTAAATGTACACATTAAATACATAACTTCAATGCACAGAATACAAGAATTTGCAAGATACCAGCAAGTTCAACTGAAAACGGAACAGAACTGCAATTGAAAACCTGCCGCTATCCAGAACTATAAACTCTGTAGCCCACAAAGTGCTTATTCTGAACAAAGCTTAAACCAGGAGGATTTTTTGAAAATAAAAGGAGTCAAATGAAAAGCACAGGCATTTGTACCCGATCCGACTGCTTCGGTTTTGGAAGGCATCCACCCATCACATCTTGTCTCTGCAGCTAGACTGAGAAGTCCTTGCTGTAGGCAGGCTCTCATCTCCTAAAGCTGAAAGAGGCCCACAGCATCACAGACTGCTCTCAAGGAGCACTTCTGTGGCACAACCAGATCCCACACCCGGAAAATACATGAAGGTTTATTGAGAGTACTCAGCACTGCTTGAAGGGAGGAGTTAAGAGCACTTATCTGACCCAGGGCTGCCTGCAGTCAGTGAGAACAACAGCACTTCCCCTTGGAGAAATGAAGTTCTCCCTTTCTGTTGACCTCCGGGCTTACAAAAATTTTAAGGGATATTAAAAATAAATAAATCTGTAGAAACATTTTAGTTCTACACAAGATTTTAAATTTATGTAAACCATTTTTCAAGAAAAACAAGGATTCTTTAGAAAAGGCCTTGGAGTGTGTATTTTATATACATACGTTGATGTTTTCATACATATTTATGAAAACATAACCAAAGAACCAGGCTTCAAACCCATCAAAAGAGAGGAACAAACACCCAGCTCCTATACGTAAGGTGACTGCCTGGATCACAGTACATCTCTTGGAATCTGCTGCAGTTCTCCCATATCAGTAATACTAAGTTGGAAACAAGTCCAGTATTTCCACAGGCATGCTGAATGTTCAGTATTTCCATTTGGAACAGAGATGAGAGTACTGGCAATGTTTTAGAAGACAACAAACTTGATTCTGAAGCCCATTAGGAAACACTTTCTGATTGAATACACAAAGTCTTTTGAAATATATACATTATTCAATAGGAGATATTGAAATATTACTATTATTTGCCAACTTCTCCCTCATATTATTTCAGTTGTTAGTGTTACACAGTCAGAAAACACTGTTCACAATAATCAGAATATCAAAACTGGAGGTGGCACGGTGACCTACAGCACGGATGTGATGGTTTGGCAGATGCAGCCTGGTTGGCCTTTTCTCCACCTGTGTTTAATGGGGTTGTTCAGTTTAGAACTATTTCCAGAACCTGTAAAATCCCAGTGCTATTGCTAAGCAAGTGAAAACCGAAGCTGTTAAAAGAACAAAAGTAGCAGTAATTAGATGAACGTTAAATTGTATCATGTTCTGCATACAGGAAATTAATTGCAAACAGAATGGAAAGCAATGCCTTGTTTCAGATGTGGTATCCTCCACAGTAGCACTGCCTACACAGCAAGGTGGGAGCTCAAATTCAGCAGCCTGCAGAACCATCATATTAGGAATGCTTCTGAAGAACCGAACCGGGTAACACAGAGCACAGCAGACTACAGTAATTTTTACTGCTGTTGCCCATCCGTCAGAAATGGTATTACAGGAGAGATGCCTGTATTGGGTCTTAACTAAATGTAATTAAACAGGCTTTCCACTGAACAAAATGACAAGCTAACACATCAGACGTGACCCCCAATTGCAGTCATCTGCTGCTGTTCTGCTGCATTTTTGAATTCATTTTGCACGTAATGTTGAATAACCCTTGAACTTCACGTGTCCAAGTTAAGTCCCTGGTACTCACCCTTGTGCCCATCACATACCTGCCAAGTAACGTATTGTATCGAGTTTATTTGATTCCATAAGCGTTTTTAAGGAAGCTATTTCAGTGTCAATTTTATTACTGATCTCTGAAATAATGCTGTTGGTATTCGAATCCTGAAACATTAAAAGAAAGCCTATCATTTGACAATGTTCTCAAGCTCTGTCCAGTTTGCAAAACAAAACAGGAATATCGTGCTATGAGCAAAACAAATTTCCAACATACTGGTAAAGATGACTAATTACTGTGTAATTAGTAAATGATCTCAGAAGTCACAGAGCAACACTTAATACCATAGGCAAATATATTAAAGATGAAGACAGAAGAAGAGAAAAATAGGTGCGATCTGAATTCTACCTGCAATATACCATGTGCCTCCTAAGGAGGACGTTCTATTATGTCTTCATGGCATCCCTAAATTCTTGCCAAACAAAGGTCTAAGAAATCACCAGCCTTATCCAAGAAAAGGAAGCTGATGCTGAAAATGGGCAATGTCCCTCAGCAGCATCAGGCTGCAGTGCCCTCAAGGAGGCACTGAGGACTCCCAGCCCCTGAAACTTGCTTGGCTGCAGGCACCCAGACAGTCTCTGCTAGGGCCAGGCAGCGAGGCAACACACCCTACCTAGAACAGACTGCACAAAGGCTCTCTGGAAGTGAGAGATGAGGTTTGTGTGTCACCTGCTTGGGAGATCCACACACAGATCCCATCAACATGTACAACACACAGGGCTTCTATCACAGGCAGACAGCTGTTAACTTTCACAGAAGTTGTGTTTACATGACATCTGGGTTGTAACTGCATCCTGCTCAATGTAAAGTGAATTCAATCCTTACTTTTTTATGAAACTCTGTAGTTGCTTCCATCAATTTCCTCTCTTGATCTGTAAACTACAGATAAAAGATAAATCACAACTGCAGCGAAGGAAGATGACACCAAACTCATAACAGTATCTTCACAGGTCAGCTTACCATATCTGTCACTCTGCTCCTTTCTAGGTTTATGTCTAGCTTGCTGTCAGCTTGGATTTTACTGGTTTCATTCTTTAAAGCAAATAAAGATCATGAAAACAACCATATTTTTCCCCTGAGATGAGTGTATACCTACTTGCTGTTTACTTACCATTAACTGCTGTTTAACTTGATCTAGTTCAATTTTCATTTTCTAGGAACAGAGAAGGAAAAGAGATTTTATAACTTCAGAAAACTGCTGCCCAAACAGTCAGCTGTGTGAGTGTTAGCACTGCATTTCTGTCATTACTGTTCTGCCATTTTTCCCACAGAGCAATGTGTTCCCAACTAAATACCTTAACTGGTGTGCTCTATTTAAACAGTCAGATATAATCTATACAGAATTTTGCTCAAAATCATTGTTTCGTATTCTGAGACTAAAGACAGGAGAAAAACACCAACATGATGTCCAGCAAAACTAAAACATATCTTAATCACCAGTTTAATTAACAGAAATGCCTGACTGCTCTCCCTCGATTGAATGGTTAACAGCAGCAAGACTACAAGAATCACCCTTGAGTAATACAGAAGATGACATCAAATATTCTGTACCACAAAAAAGGTGCACTGGGGAAATCACAGTATATTTTAGAGTACTGATGGCTTAATTAAAGGGATTTGTCAGTACCTCATTCTCTGCTCTCAAGTTTGCAAATTCACTTTTTTCCAGGATGACCATGTCTTTCCGAATGGAGTCCAGATGTGCCATGATCTGCTGCAAAGTTATTTCCTTGGAAACAATACAATAAGCCAATGGTTAAGTTCCAAACTGTCTGATAAGCAAAGGAAGGGATTTTTAGGACTCAAATTAGGAAGTAAACTGCAGCAAAGCATAAAGATGGGGAGACTCTCCAAAAGAAACAGCTTTTATAAACTGGAGTTAAAAAAATAAAGAAAACTAAGGAAGAAATGGAATAGCTTAGATTCTTGAAGGCAGTGCTCCTTTAACTGGTGGAAGAAAGTTTCCCTGTCGTTCAGCATGGAAGATGACAAATCTGTGAGTCTGTTTGTAGCTAACAGTATTTCTCAGATCCTAATGCTGAACTACATTCCTCTGCCCCTGCTTCCACTGAGGTCTGACTTTATTTCATTGAACACAATGAAGTTTTTACTGTTTCTGGAAGAAGTTCAGGGCCTTTTACATCAAGGAGCTCACTCTCTTTATCCCAAGATGCTCAGCATGGTCACTGAACGCACCAAAAAAATGGTGGTTCTACCTAATATAATTCCATACAAATGACAGCTTAGATACTGACTTTTTCTTTTATGTGTAATCAGATGCCCAAACAGGAAGGCTTCTGCTTTGACAGAAGAAACAAAGACACAACTTCTTGTCTTCTTTTTGAGACTTACAGAAAAAAATAAATAAATTCCATTAAGCATAAATGCCAGTAAGGTAAAAATCTGTGGAAGTAGGAGCCCACAGTTTAAATTAAACAGCACCGAACACTTAATTGCATTAACTCACTGAAGAAGAATGGCACGTAATTTCAGCTTGCACTGCCTTCCTGACTAATTATTAAAACCATTACTGTACACCAGAGCTTTTTGATGCTGACTGAGACGCCTACAGGAAGAAGCTAAAGTTCTTTTTCTTTTGGCAGTGCATTAAAACAGAACTCAAGCAGCTCAGAAGGAAGAGCC